CGGCGCACTCACACTCGGGAGCAGCCTCGGCGTCCTCCCCAGAGCCGCTCCTCCGTCCGGGCCGCGCTGGCAGCGGCTGGGTATGCTGGCTCTGCCGGGAAAGCCTAGGTGTTAGTGCGAGGCCAGCGGCTACTGATAATTAATCACCGGAGCCGACGGCTTGTACCATGCGCTCGGTGATACGCGCCCTGCGCGCTCCGCTCCTCTTGCACAATTGCTGGCTCTGCGGCTCCGAGGGGGAGCGAGGGTGAGAGGAAGCAAAGGGAAACAACCCAGAAACTTTCATCTTGGACTGTGCTCAAGCGAGGGAGGGAAGTTCCCTGGTGCCTCCCTCCTAGACACGTCTTGCTTTTCCAAAGCCTGCACCAAACCCTTTACACAAAGCAAGAGTTAGTGTGATATTATCATCCACACAGCACTAAAGTATTACTGACAAATACTTGGTTTTTAAGCAGATGACGGTTAAGAAATGGATATTGTTTCACTCATTTAAAAAAACACTACAGCTGCTTTCTTTAAAAAAACAACAACCTGTTTTGTTTGTAAGAGTTCATGAGGATTACTTTATTGACTTAATTTAGATTTTTTTAAGGTATTGATAATGAAGGAAAGAAAACAATTTGCTAGGCTATAAACTACTACAAGTTTAGAAATACATCTGCAGAAGAATGTGCTCAGAACCAGGGTTTTGTACCATTTAGCTAGCAAACAGTTTTATCACACTATTCTAGATAGGATAAATGCATTTGAGTAAGGTGTATTTTGACATATCCTGTAGAGGGACCCTGATTACTGCTGATACAGTAAGCTGGGGTTTAAATGCAATCAACATAAACCCAATAAGCAACTCTTTATGTGCAAGTTGCTCATTCTTGCAAGTTAAGTTCATTTCCTCCCAGAGATACTCCTTGTCATTGCAGTGTGCTTTGAGAGTTGTGTTTCTGAGGCATATTCCTGTCTGGGTGGCTCTGTTCATGGTTGAAACAGAGAGTATGTTTTCACTGACCTTAGGAATAAATAACTTGTGCCACGCTTTAAAAATTAGATGTTACCGTCAGGGTTTTGCGTGAGTTAGTGGCGGTCAGGGCTGTGTGTATGTGTGTGTGTTTTGGAAGGGAAGATTGGTTTAGGTCTCCCTCTAGCTAGAAAAGAGTTAATAAAACCAGATAGAGATAATGATCAATTGATAAATGGCTATTGAACCACATAGATGGTGTTAGATTGCTTCTTTGGCACTAGCCCATTTTCAAGTAGATTTGAATCTAAGGAGACATTAAGTTGTGGAAAACATTTTAGCTTAAAAAAACAAATAAAAGTAAATTATATAAATGATGGATCAGAATTAGGAAAATAATTTGAAATCACTCAGAGAAACTTGTACAACTAAGCTGTTATGATGTCTTTGATCCAGCTATTTGACTCTGTGGGTATATAAAGGTCTATTTTGTGTTTACCTGTGTGTATGTATGTGTCATAGTGAGCTTCAGTGACTACATAAACAGAGTAGAAATATAGGGAAATAATTTATGCATAATGATGCTATATAAAACTGCAATATTAATTATACTATTTACTAAACAGTAGCATAATAAAGGGAGAAATTCACAATTTAAAAAATGTTGTGATTTAACTATATTTTATATTTTATTTTTTGGTTTTGATGTAGTTAACAACTCCCCCCTCTTTTTCTGTCAGGGTTACTAAATGTTTAACTCCTATGCATTTTTGGAAAGCATGTTAAGAGAGGGTATGAGTTTACATGTTTTTTTTCTTTTCTCCTTCAGGATGACATTTTAGTTTGTATAAATATTGTGTAAACTTAGATTCAAACTATGTGTAAATCTAAAAAGTATATGTGCTGTATATGTTTAATATGTTTATTTTCCTTACTTATAGTTCATCAGCAATGCTGATTCAGAGTGTGTGTGTATGTATGTGTGTGCATGTGCAAGAAAGACATTTTTCTTAAAATGATATCTCTTGAAGCCAACAGTTTTCCTGTAATACTAGTTTCAATATAAAACATTAGTCAGCTTTTGTCTTACTACAGGTAAAAGTTTGTCCAGTTTAATCAAGTATGTAGAATTCTGTGTATCTCACTGCTAAGGCATTAAAAATATTTTTTCTATTACGATTATTTTAATTTCTAAGAAAAAAACTGATTTAGCTCATGAAATAAAAATTTGGGGTATATTTTTTATTTCAAAGTTTTCTATAATAACATAAAAACTATAAGATTTACCTGATCATTTCATTAAATATTAGAGAAGACTGACTAGTAGGTATCAAAACTGAGTTATTGGGAATTCACCATCAGTATTATTTAACTACAGAACAACTTGTCGGAAATGTCTCATGAATACTGAAATTTAATAATCTAGGTTTATGTCTTTTATAGGTAAATTAGGAAGTAGAGATATAAAAATACTTGTTTTCTGTATAAGTGAAGTTGAATCTGCTTATACGTAAATCTATCAGCCTGTCTAATACTAACAAAAAGATACCACAAAATATGAAGCCAGTTTAGATTTGGTAGAATTAAGTATGTTTTTCTAAAGTTCGAGATACAACAATTCGAGTGCATTTTTCTGCCTCTCTACATTTTCCTCCCATATTTAATTATGATTTTTCAAAAGGGATGATTTTTTTTCATACAAACTAATATTTGATAACCTTAAAGGGCATGACTCTTGACTTTGGTAAAGGGAGTTCTTACTTGGGTTACTTTGATCAGTGACAGGCCGAGAATGACCAGAAACCCTTTACTCATCTTCTCTGTTAATCTCCTAGAGTCCAGAACATTATTTTGCCCATTTTATCCTCATGAAGTTTTTGTTAAAAACAAAATAAGGCCTGATTTTGGAAGTTTTATTTTTTTTAGTAAACCACAGGTTTTTAAAGGTGATTTTTCTAAAATGTTTTGTGTATTTGGGAGACTAGCATATAAAATTCTTTGTAGGTACCTTAAGGGATGCAATAGTCTAATATATTTTTAAATCTTTTCAGAAATGAAACCATAACAGGTAAATGGCTATAGCCCACGTTTTACACGTTTACATTACTAGAGGCATTTTCCTTTAATTATTGGTGAGGTATATTTAACCTTTTCAAATAAAATGTAGATTCCTTAATAAGGTCTCTTTTCAGACATGAGTGAAATACTAAGTTAGAATTATAAATGACTGTGTGCATCATTATGTAGTAATTTAGGATTCACCCATGATGTAACACAATTAACAACATAATTTCATTGTGAAACTGTGTCTTATTAAAGAACACTGTCTGACATTCTCTTACAGTTGCTTTATTTAACTTCATGCAAATATTATTAATAGTGACATTTTTTCTATTGTGCATTAGATTCTCTCATTAGTATGATGTGTTAGTTATCACCAGAGAAATAATTTCCTAGATAGGTGAGGGGCAAACCAAGAAAGCTAAAAATTAAATCAACGATTTACATTAATACCAGAGCATCTGCTCACCAGAGATATGACAGAGTAAAGCAAACTTTCTTACTAATATAAAATCTAGCTCATTTCAGAGAAATGATAAATAAAATATATTGTGAGAAATATATAATAACATTGCT